TCAGACAGGAAATTTTGGGATGCATTCCTTTGTGCTATCAGAGGAGGAATCCAGCCTTTTGCCTACAAAGGCAACTTTAACAGCATAATTTTGTACTGGCCTTTCCCCCTTTCCTGTCTCCTCTTCTACTGCCATTTATTTATTTATTTTGAGTTCAAAGTCTGGACTCACAGATAAATTGACAACCTAAGAATTTTTCTATATTTGCAACTGCACATTGGATTTCATGATATGCTCAGATTTGTTTGATAAACTAAGAGACTGATCTGGATAAATAATAAAATTTGTGTTAACAGCATTTATTTCATAATCATTCAATAATCTTTTCAGAGGTAAAGTTCATGTGCATTTGGATTTGGGGGAACACTGGCTGCCTCCAGTGTTTAATATATGTTGCTTTTTACAAAGCCATTTTGTTTTCCAGGCTACTTGATAGTTTTTAACCTTCACTGGTAAATAAAAAAGTTCATTTTTTCAACACAGCTCTTACCATGATCCTTCTGTTTTCTTGGGAGATTGTATATACCCAATATTTCTTCCATTTGACAGGTTCATTTTGAAATATGCTGAATATTCAATTTCTCCACCCCTCTTATTCATCCCACTCTTTCAATGAGATGCCTTTGCCTTTGTAATACAGCCTGAAGTTTGTCCAATAGGAAGAGCCCATTAATCATTTTAATTATGTCTTGGGCATACCCTTTCCTCCACAGTAATAAATATTTCCTGTAGCCAATAAAAGAATCCGTAGTTCATACAATGAAACATAAATGATTAAAATGAAAAAAAATCAAACCTTAAGAAATTGTAAAATTGATGCCATTTTGACTTATTCAGTTAGCAAAAATTAATATTTTTTTCAGTCAAAGGTTTTTTTTTTTTTCCTTTTCAAGATCAGTGATGGCTTGTGATTTCAATTAAAATCTTGGGTGTGTTTTACTCTCTTGAAACAAACCTACACCTGCTGAGAAATCTCTATCTTAAAGTTTTGAATGTGTTTCTTTTAATCTCTGGAGGAAGTATTAGGAAATCCTGTCTTTTGGAGGCAACCTTTGAGGTTCAATAATTTATTCCATTTCATGAATAAATTTTTGTTTCAATTCAACTAAAAATAAATAATTTGTTTAAAAAATTGTGTTTGCAATTAGGCAAATGGGCTCATATTGTTTTGGCTTTTGTATAAATTGGTACAAACATCTTAAAGAATTGCTTGGAAAATTGCATCAAGACTATATCCTCATAATTTTTGTGAAAATTCTATAAAGAAATAATAAAAAAAGAGGTTATATTAGTTATAGTCTCATAGAAAATCATTAAAAAATGGAAATGTTCATCAATAGCAGGAATGAGGTTAATATGTTTTGGTTATTTGGTATAAATTATAAATTCGTAACATTATTTTATATAGAGATATACATATATATCCATGCAATATGTAAAATAATTTATAGTAATATACTCTGTCACCATAACAAAATCAGGATTTCAGGACATGTTTAATATGAGGTGAAAAGGCAGTAAAATGTAGAAATAGTACTTTTTCCATCATTATTTTTATGTACATTTTAAATATACATAGGGTGGGATCTGTTGTTACATATTTGAGCATGCATATATAACAATATAGCTTGATTAATATCATTCCCCAGTATGTCCCCTTTTTACCCCTTCCCCCTTCCCCTAGTCACTTTCCTCTACAGATCTCCCTTTTATTTTCTTGAGATTCTTGCCACCTTACTTTTCCTTTTCCCTTTCTAGCTTCCACAGGTGAGAGAAAATATATGACCCTTGATCTTCTGAGTTTGGCTTATTTCACTAGACATAATGGTCTCAAGTTCCATCCATTTTCCTGCAAATGGCATAATTTATTTTTTTCTTTATGGCTGAATAAAACTCCATTGTGTATATATGTCACATTTTCTTTATCCATTCATCTGTGGATGGACACCTAGGCTTGTTCCTCAGTCTAGCTATGGTGAATTGTGCTGCCATAAACATGGGTATGCAGGTATCATTATAATATGATGACTTTAATCCTTTAGGATAAATATTAAGGGCTTGGTACAGCTGGCTTAGATGGCAGTTCCATGCTTAGATTTTTGAGGAACCTCCACACTGATTTCCACAGTGGTTGTACTAGTTGACAATCCTACAAGCAGTGTAAAAGTGCTCCTTTTCTCCACATTCTCCTAAACAGTTAAAATGGTTTGTAATTTTCATGATTGACATTCTAACTGCAGATGACATCTCAGTATAACTTTTTTTTAATTTTCATTTCTCTAATTGCTAATGATGTTGGACATTTTTTTCCCATATATTTGTTTAACATTTTTATTTCTTTTGAGATCTATTCAGTTCGTTACTCCATTTATTAATTAGTTATTTGTTTTTCTGGTGTTGATTTTGAGTTCTTTAAATATCATGGACATTAATACTCTATCAGAAGAGCAGCTAGCAAAGAATTTTCTTCCTTTCTCTAGCTTCTCTCTTCACATTCTTGTTTCTTTTGCTGTGCAGATGCTTTTAATTCTATCCCATCCTATTTATTAACTCTTGGCATTATTTCCTGAGCTTTAAAAGTCATGGCATTTGCAGGTAAATGGATGGCATTGGAGAAGATAAAGCTAATTGAAATTAGCCAATCCCCCCCAAAAACAAATGCCAAATGTTTTCTCTGATATAAGGAGGCTGACTCATAGTGTGGTAGGGAGGGGGAGCATGGGAGGAATAGATGAATTCTAGATAGGGAAGAGGGGTGGGAGGGAAAGGGAGGGGGCAAGGGATTAGCAAGGATGGTGGAATGTGTTGGACATCATTATCCAAAGCACATGTATGAAGACTTGAATTGGGTGTCAACATACTTTATATACAAGCAGAGATATGAAAAATTGTTGTATATATGTGTAATAAGAATTGTAATGCAAAAAAAGTACATGTATAAAGACATGAATTGGCATGAATATACTTTATATATAAAGATATGAAAAATTGTGCTATGTATGTATAATGAGAATTGTAATGCATTCTGCTGCCATGTATTTAAAAAATAAAATCAATTAAAAATAAAGAGTCCTATTGAGAAATTCATTTCCTGTGCATGTATTTTGAAGTGTTGACCTTATGTTTTCTTCTAGAAGTTGCAAGTGTCTAGTCTAATTCCTAGGTATTTGATCCATTTTGAGTTCTTTTTTATTTAGGGTAAGAGATTATAGAGTCTAGTATCATTCTTCTACATATGGATAAGAAGTTTTCCAACACCACGTAAATTAAAAAGGCTGTCTTTTCTCTAATGTTTGTGTTTGGCACCTGTCAGAAGTCAAATATGACTACATTCAAGTGGATTTGTCTCTGTGTCATCTATTCTGTACCTTTGGTCTATGTGTCTGTTTTTGTGCTGGTACCATGAAGTTATTACTGCAGCTCTGTAGTGTAATTTGAAGTCAGGTATCATGAAGCTTCCAGCATGGCTTTTTTGACTTAGAATTGCTTCGGCTATTCTCAATCTTTTATTCTCTCAAATGAATGTTAGGACTGTTTCTTCCAGTTCTTTAAACAATGCTATTGGTATTTTGATGTGGATTATATTGAATCTGTAATTACTTTTAATAGTATGACAATTTTATCCATGTTAATTCTGCTTATCCATGAACATGGGAGGTCTTTCTATCTTCTTTTTCAATGTTCTATTTTTTTTCATTGTAGAGGTCTTTCAACTCCTTGGTTAGATTTATTCCTAGGGTTTTCTTTTTCTTCTTTCTGTTTTCTCCCTATGGTAATGTGAATGACATGGTTTTCATGATTTCTTTATTGGTATATAGGAAAGCTATTAAATTTTGTAATTGACAAATAGTTTAAGCATATTTACAGTGAAAGATTATAGAAGACTTTTTAGAGTTTCCAATTATCATTTGTCACCATCAATCACTCTATTTTAGATTTCCAATTTTAAATTTTGGAGAAATGCTTTCACTTTTGCTGATTCCACCAATCATTATTTGTTGAACAAGTCCCTGTGCTAGGTACCACATGGCCCCTTTTCATTTCAAAGGGAAATTTTAGCTTTAATGTGCTTTTGTACATACACATCCTTATTTTCTCCACTGTAAGAGAATATTCTAAGGGACACAAGATAGGCATTCAATTTCTTAATTTATAAATGAGAAATTGGAAGTCTTCAGAAAAGTAGACTCAGCCACTAGCAGTCTTTGTAGGGTCACATGTCTAGTATTTATACAGTGAGGACCAGAATCTTAACCTAGTGCTATATTTACAGCTTCTCCCTGTATCATGGGTGGTCAATAAAGAAAGCTTGGGGCATATCTCCACAGGGTTTTATCTACCTGTGTCATAAGTGAATGGAATTCCTTGGAGTTGAATTTTGGGTGAATCCACCTAGTGGGTACTGCAGGCACCTTGCCCAAGTCCTTTATGTCATAGCACTTCAGTGTGTGCCTACCCATTCCCAGCTACCTGTGCCTGCAAGTTTTTCCTGATTCAGAAGCCAGTAAGGGCTGCTGTGTCTATAGGAAGCACTAAAGAATTACTCATTCTCCTGGAATAGCTTTCCATCCAAAGTCCTACATCTCAAGATTAGATGAGTCTGAATTGTGTGTATCTTACTGTTTCCCAGAGTTGGGGCTTCAGCAGCCTATGGTGTGGATCAGCGTGATAGCCTGTCCTTTCCTGACATCTTCCCTCTCCTGTTCTCCCCACTCTATCACTTCCATCTTAAATAAGCTACCTGCCCGACCTCCTGGAATCCTTGTCTTGGGCTATAATCCTGAGGGAACTAAAAATTAGACACCATGCATGATAGCCCTGTATATAAAGTTTTAATGATTACCAGAAATGTTTATGCGGTGTAATAAATAAGAAAACGTATTAAATATCTTGTTTTTGAACATAGAAAAAGTGCCTTTTTTGAAGCCCTTATTAACTATCTCCTGATAAAAGGCAAATTACCCAACTGTTTACTACATAGGAAACACAAAGCTCTTACATCTGATATTTTATCAAGTCTTTATTAAGAAGTAAAGTGCTCAGTATTACACAATTATAAAATTCTTGATTGTTGAGACTGGCATATGTAACATCATAATTATTCCTGTCATACAGAGGTGGGAAGGTGATAAGGAAAGGGCTGGGACTGAATGCTCCATGACTAAAGAATAAAAATGTATGGAACTTATGGATAATAAGAAAAGAATTTCACCACGTTTTACAAGTGAAATGAAAAACAGTACAATGATAAGTACCATAAAAAGAGTTTCTAGTGACCATAATCAACCTATGGCACCGGGTCAATATACATGGATACCACATAATAGTTGCACTTCAAACTGAAGTTTGTTTACATGTAACAACAAGGTACACAAACATAAATATGTACACTCCATTCCCCTGGAATGCAAATTTCAGTACCTAGGAATAAAGAATTGGTGTAGCATGTTAAAACAAAGTAAAGACAGATAGAGATAAATCCATGGGGAATGACTGTTAAAGACACTCAATATGTTTTATTTCTATAGACACTATGGCAGAAAGGCCTGTCTTCTCTTTTCATTAGAGATTTGACTGACATACTCCACCAATGGAATGAACTACTTAAGATGCAGCATTAAAAAGCAGGATTCCCTTCTGTTATCCAACTGAGAGATGCTCAACAATATTACATTGCCCTTGCTGGTCCTATTAGCTATCAAAAGGCCACATTTCCCACTACTTTTGAAAAATAATTTGTTTTTGTATTTTTTTTTTGAGAAATAGGTTTTTCTCCCATAAATTTTGCAAGACCCTTTCCTATTGAAAACAACTGATGCTAACTCAAAATGTGGCTGGTACTTTCTGACAAAGGATGAACTTTGAATACCAATGCCTCCTTTTTACTAAATTAAGCATCATTTACATTATCAATATTGGATCAGGAATATTTGAGAACTATATTCTTGAGAGAGTATTAAACTGAAACTTTAGTTTTGTTGGTGGTTTAATGAATTTTAAAACTAAAGTTTGAAATTACCATTTCCTCTTCAAATTGGTCTTTGGTGGTTTTCTTGGCTATTTCAAATTCAAAGCTAATATAATATAAAAATGAAATGATAGTCTCACAGATTTTAGATATAAACAAACAATAAAAGCACAGTATTTAACATTTATCTTAACCACTCATACAAATTCTAGCATAGTGACTACATACCCATTCTGTGGTCTGGAGTTCTTTTCTACCTAGTCTTTTAGAAAAGTTCACTCCAGTAAGGTAGTTGGAAAAAAAAAAAGAATCCTTTTTAAAAAGAAATCCATGCATTGAGCTCATGAGTTACTCCCCAAGTGGAGAGGAATATCCTACCTGCTTTCATACACTGGACAAAAGTGGCAATACTGATTTTTGTGAATGGAAGTAAACTCAGAAGACCTTTGACTGTTCTCTTCTAGCTATAAAGGCTACTTCACTGTCAATTGGGAAGATGCAGGCATGGTGGCAACTGACCATACACTCCACATACTTTTCAAAGATTTTCCCTGAACTCAATATTTACATCTAGATTTCTCATATGAGGGGGAAAAAAAAACCTCAAAAAGCAAAAAACCAATCCAAAACAAAACAAAACAAACAAACAAACAAAAAACAAACACTTGGATTCACGGGTAACATTTATATAAAATAAGTTAAAGTGCAGAAGATTAACAATCAGTCACATAGGCCAGCATCATATGGTAATCAGGGCATATAAATAGTGTACTTGTTATGGCGATTGGGACAGCGCCTTCTCGCCTATCAGGAACATACACACCAACACTCCTCACACGTGCATACTGGCACTCCCATTTCCACCTCCACCTTCTGCGCCCTCTGTGGACTGAGAGGAGGAAGGACGGGATCCTCTGGGGCGAGGCTGACCATGGAGTCCCACAGGTGTGCCTAGCCGGTGACTTATCTGGGAAGCTGCATCATCAGATTCCCAGCGCTCCAGCTCTTCCCGCACTAACTGCTCCATCTGTTCCCTGTGGATTTCACTGTCACGACCCAGTCTTTCATCCTAACAAGAGAAAAGAAACCAAGGTGTTACTGGTGAGGTGATGCATGTTCTTGTAGATGGAAATGAATCCTTTGTTCATCGTTCTCCAGCCCATGACCTCTTACCTCGGCCACCCCATCCAGCAGCCTCCCCAGCACCTCCCGTCTCTTCACTTTGGTCCGCTCCATGGTCTCCAACTTGACGATCACAGCATCGATCTTGGACACAATGCTGCCGATGGAGTGCTCCATGCGGTCCACGCGCCTCACCAGGCTGCAGGTAACCACAGTTAAGAGGGCAAAGCCGCATTATATTTTCAGCTCCATTGGCTTTTCAAACAGAAATGCTAAGATTTTTTAAACAATCATAACCTGAAATACTTTCTATTTTTAAATTATTTTGGCAAGGCTGGGGATGGAACCCAGGTCCTTAGGCAGGTGTTCTATCACTGAGCCACATCTCCAGCCCTGAACCATTTTCTAGTGGTCTCAAGCTCTAGGGACAAACTTTCATAGGCTGCTGGTGGGATTCCTAGCTGGCTCACATCTCCAGAGAGTTGCCATTGTATTTTAAATCTTAGAACGATGCCTAATCCTTCTTTTGGATGTTCTAGTTTTAGAACTTTTTCTAAAGAAATGTTTTATGTTATAATTTTTTACTACAATGCTGCTTCTTATTAGCATAACATTGAAATAGCTACATTAGCCAATCAAAATGGAGATTGTTTAAATACATCATTGTCTATCTATACAATGGAACTCTTAGGTGACACCAGAAGTTATACTGTGACAAAATATTTAATTAAATAATGTTCACAGTATACTGAGTAAATAAACCAGTGGAGAAAACCATATACTCACTCATCATCCCTGGGGTCTCAATTTTAAAATATTATGTAAATGTCTTAAAATAGGGTAACTTGAGACAACTTCTAGAATGATGGCACATGAGAGTTCTGTAGATTCTCTCCCCAGTGAAATGACTATAAATGGTGAAAATTGTTTTTAAAAACTCCAACATTCAAATGCATGAGAAATTTTCTTAAGGTCATACAACAAATGAAAAGACATTTATTCAAATAAATCTGCTATTTTTCTATAAGAATGAGAGTCTGCAGCATTTTAAAAAATATTTCAAGAAATAATGCTTGAATGCCTCCCAAATATTTTGAAAAACATTACCTATCAAGGAAGCACACACACACACACACACACACAAAAAAAAAAAAAACTCCAAGTTTTTTGGGATAGTCTTGGATAGTCTTGGAGACACACACATACTAAGTACAAATATTTAGAGACATGTAGCAGGGAACTTTAGTAAGATTAACATCTGTCTTATCAGAAACATTGGAGGCCAGAAAAAATGAAGACAAAACAAAACATAAACAAGAGCAGAGAGTTTTTGCTAGAAGATCTGCTTTACAATAAATACTAACAGAAATTCTTCAGGTTGAAATAAAATCACAGCAATTATAATCCTCATGAAAAAACAGTACATTGGTAGAAGTCATTATGTAAATATAAAATACAGAAGAAATGCACATTTCCTCCTATTTTTCTTAACTAATTTAAAATCAACTGTGTGAGATCTGTACATAATTGGATTATTGGTCCTATAAACATATATAAATACAATACACTTAACAATGACCAGGTGACACCAGAAGTTATACTGTGACAGAATATTTAATTAAATAATGTTTACAGTATAGGTAGGAGCAAAGTTTTATTGGAGCAAGAAAATTACATCAGATGGCACCATGAATATAGAGAACAGAAGAGAATCAGATGTGGTAAGGTTAATAAGATGAGAAGGTTAATTTAGCAAATGCTATAGATATATACTTCTAATTCTTCTTTCAGCTTTGTTAAGAGACATAAAATTATATATTGGGATAACTACTCAATGTAATATTGAGTTTGTACACTGTATGTAGATCAGTATCATGAGATAATACACACATACACACACACACACACACACAGAGATACACGTATATACACACATAGAGTGGCCATAGAAAGTGGAAAGAAGAAAAAGAGCTATTTAGAAATAACATTTCCTTAGCTTGCTGGACTAATTTAATTTAAAACCTAAGTACTTTCTCACTAACTGATTTATATATGTTACATCCTAAAGCAACCACACACAAAAAAAGTCCTAAAAATAGTAAAAAAATTAGTAAAAGAACCAAATTATTACACTATAAAATATTCACTTAGTGGAAAAGAAAAAAATATGGAAGGAATGGAGGAACAAAAGAGACATTAGAAAATACAATGTAAAATGTCAGAAATAAATCCAACTATGTCAATGATAACCTTAAATGTAAATGGCTCAAACAATCCAAACAAAAGGCAGAGATTGACAAATAATAAAAAAAAGGCAAGATCTAAACGTATGCTGTCTACATGAGACACATTTTAGATTCAAAGATGCAAAAATATGTTATGCAAAGAGCAACCATAAGAAAGCTGGAGTGGCTACAGTTATTGCAGTCAAAAAAAACAAAACAAAACATTTTACTAGGATGGAGTGAGACATCTTATAATTAAAGCAGGGTCATCAATTAGGAACATACACTAATTACAAATGTGCACCTAACAACACTGCCTCAAAATAAACGAAACAAAATCTTACAGAATTAAAGTGATAAATAGACAATTGAATAAAACAGTTGGAGAATTTAATAGCACACTTTCACAATTAGAACAACTACACAGAAGAACAATAGAGAAATAAGAGACTCAAATAACACCATAAAGCCACTAGACATATCAGACCTCTGGAAATCACTCCACTCAAAATGGCATAATAAATAAACCAGACTGTTAAAAACAAAGGCCGAAGTTTTCTTCTTTCATATGTGGAAGCTAGAGCAAAATACGGGGGAATAAATGGGGATAGAGGGGACTCATTAAGCTATAGGGAAGATCAGCAGAGTAGAGGGAGGAGGAGGAGATAGGAGGAGGAGATAGGGAGGGAGGAGGGATGGGAAACGGGAGAAAATGCAAAATGAATTTAACAAAATCACACTGTGTGCATGTATAAATATACTACAGTGAATTCCACTTTTATGTACATGTATAAAACACCAATCAAAAATAAATAAATGAGTGAAAGGAAGATGATCAGAGAAAGGGGACTAGGTGGAGAGAAAAGGGAAATGGGGAGGCACTGGGGACTGAAATGGGAGTAAATCAAATTCCATATATGTATGAATTTGTCAAAATGAGCCCAACTATTATGTATGACTCTAGTTAAAAAAAACTATCATAATATACATTCTTTTTAAGTGCACTTGGAAACCTCCACAATAAAGTATATGTTAGTCTAAGAAAATACGTAAAAATATTGTTAAACGCATGTAAATGGAACCACAGACAATAAAATATTAATAGAAATTTTCATTGGTAGAAATATAGGAGATATAAATGTTTTCTTTCTTTTTTCTATATTATCCATTTTTCCTATAATAAACACTTTACCTTTCTAAAGACAAAATGCATGAATAAAAGTCACAAAAAAGAATTGATGGTTAACAATGGAAAAGAATGGATTAAGAAATGCAGGGAATTTTTGATGGAAATTGCATTGAATCTGTAGAGCACTTTTGGTAGTACGGCCATTTAGAAATGTTAGTTCTGCCTAAGAATATAGGAGGTCTTTCCATATTCTAAGGACTTCTTCAATTCCTTTCTTTAGTGTTCAGTCATTTTCGTTACAGAGGTCTTTCACCTCTTTTGTTAGATTGATTCCCAAGTATTTTACTTACCAGGGACAGCGGGACAGTTTTTAGATGTTGATTCTTGGTACTTTGCTGAATTCATTTGTGAGTTCTAGAAGTCTTTATGGAGCTTTTAGGTGAGCAAACAGAGATAATTTGAGCTCTTCATTTCCTATTTGTATCCATTTAATATCTTTTGCTTGCCTATATTGTTCTGGCTAGAATTTCTAACAATATATTAAATAGGAGTGGTGAAAATAGATATCCTTTTCTTGTCCCAGATTTTAAAGGAAATCCTTTCAGTTTTTCTCTATTCAGAATAATGTTGGCCTTGGTTTTTTGTATATAGCATTCACAGAAATAGAAAAAGCTGGAAGAATAGCCAAAGCACTCCTCAGTGAAAAAAAAAAAAAAAAACAAGCAAAAGGCATCACAGTATCAGAACTCAAATTATACTACAGAGCAGTAACAAAAACAGCATGATACTGGCACCACAACAGGCACAAAAACCAACAGAATACAATAGAAGACACAGAGACAAACCCACATAAATACAGTTATATCATACTAGACAAGTGTGCCAAAAATACATTGGAGAAAAGATAGCCTCTTCAACAAATGGTGCTGGGAAAACTGGAAATCCAAATGAAGTAGAATGAAATTTAACCCCTATCTCCCTGTATAAAACTCAATGTGTATCAAAGACCTAGGAATTAGACAGAAACCCTGCACCTGCTACACAAAAATGAGGGCCCAGCATTCTAACATGCTGGCTCAGAAACTGACTTCCTTAACAAGACTCCTAAAGTGCAAGAATTAAAATAAAAGATCAATAAATGGGATGGAATCAAATTTAAAAAGCTTCTTCAGAGCAAAGGAAACAATCAAGAACATGAAGAGAGAACATAGAGAATGGGAGACAATCTTTGATACCTGCTCCTCAGGGCATTAATATCCAGGATATTCAAAGAACTCAGAAAACTTAACACCAAAAGGCAAATAACCCAATCAATAAATGGGCAAAGGAACTAAAAAGACACTACTCAAAAGAAGAAATATGAATGATCAACAAATACATGAAAAAAATGTTCAATATCTCTAGCAATAAGATAAATGCAAATTAAAACTACAATGAGATTTCATCTCACTCCAGTCAGAGTGGCAATTATCAAGAATACAAATTAACAATAAATGTTGGAAAGGATGCGGGGAAAAGGGTACACGCATTCATTGTTGGTGGGACTGCAAATTGGTGCAACTATTCCAGAAAGCAGTATAACGGTTCCCCAAAAATTTAGAAATGGAAGCATCATTTGACCCTGTTATCCCACTCCTTGGAATATATCCAAAGGATTTAAAATTAGCATACTATAGTGACACAGTCACATCAATGTTTATGGCAGCACAATTCACAATAGCTAAGCTGTGGAGCCTACCTAGGTGCCCTTTAACTGATGAATGGATAAAGAAAATGTGATATGTATACACATGGAGGAGCCATTAAGAAGAATAACTTTATGGCATGTGCCAGTAAATGGATGAGTCTGGAGACTATCATGCTAAGTGAAATAAGCCCATCGATAAAAGCCAAAGGTTGAATGGTTTCTCTGATATGCAAAAACTATCAAAAATAAGGGGGGAAGTTAAAAAAGAGAGAGAGAGAGAGAGAGAGAGAGAGAGAGGGAGAGAATAAAAGAAAGATTAGTGGAGTAAACAAAGGCAAGTGAAGGAAAAGGAGGAGGGATGGGAACAAGAAAGACAGTGTAATTAATTCTATATAACATTTCTATATACATATATGAATATACCACAGTGAATCTCACTATTATGTACATCAAAGAACACTAGTTTAAAAAAAATAATAACTCTAAGTGAACACCAGAAAAACCAGTAGAGTAGAGGGATGAGAACAGGGGAAAGGATGTTGGAAAGGATGCGAGGAAAAGGGTACACGCATTCATATATTCATTGTTGGTGGGACTTCAAATTGGTGCAACTATTCCAGAAAGGAGAGGGGAGGGGAAGTACCAGGGAATCAATTAGAACAAATCATATTCCATGCTTTCATAATTATGTCAAAATAAATACTGTTGCCATGTGTAACTAAAAAGAAATAAAAAAAAAATAAAGTACATGGTTAAGGTTTAAAAAATAAAGATTCAGTATCTTTACTAATTACAAAAACCAAAAAAAGAAAAGAAAGAAAAAACAGGAAACAGACATATCTCGTTTAGACTCTGGTGCACCAAAATTCAGCCAATTCCTTTATACTCACACTTGAAACTCTTCATAAGAAACCCCACTGGAGATGCTTCCCCTCCTTCTGGAGCTGTGTCCACTGTCTTCGTCGTCATCCTCCTCAGAGTCATCCAGGCTTCTTGGGAAACTGCGGCTGCTCATGGGGCGCGGCAAAGAGCTATGGTCCAAGTCCAGGTCCTCCTGCAGGACAAGGGGTCGCCCAGTGAAGAGAGGCACCAAGACCTCACACAGAATTTAGCATGGTCTTGGGCAAGTAGGAAATGGGTGTCAGCCAGACCAGGATGGCCACATTTTTCTATATTGTGGAATGCACAAATTTTCAGACAGATTTTAACTATTAACGAGGAGTTGCTAAGCTTTTGTTTGGATAAGAAAGAACACTAAAAACATAAGAAAGAAAAAAAGTAAATAAAAGAATACCCTTATCACCTTCTTTTCATAAAAGAACAAATTCAATAACTCTAAAGCAGGAAGGATATAATCTCAGAATTTTGACTAAATACTGACGCAAGAAAATTTCATTTACTGTCTTTGTGCTTACATTTCACAATGAATGTTGAAGTTTGTCACCTTTGGACAAACTTGTCTGTAGCACTGTTTAGTAACAATCATTCTAGACTTCTCCTTGGAGGAAAGTGGCTTTGTATGTTAACATTCATCTGTGTTCTCTATACCTCAATTTCTTTTTTGTTATTATTGTTGTTTAAGCATTTATATTTGAAAGTTAATGGAAAAACTGTTAATTCTTCTTAGTTACATAAGCTCATTTACAATTTTATTTAATTATTATTTATTACTTGTTACTTGAGATGGGTTCTATGTTGCCCAGGCAGGTCTCCAACACTTGGGTCGAAGTACCCTCGACATCAGTCTCCTGAGAGGCTGAGACTATGTTGGCACCACCATGCCCAACAGTTAATTTTACTTTCTATTACGCTGTAGTAAATATTCAAATAAAAGGCACATGATAATTTTATTTTACTATAAAAGTTAATAATTTAAAGAGCAACTAATTAACCAGAGAGGTTTTTATCTTCTGGTAACTTTTTTTTTTCCTCACTCTCTTGGACATAAAGAACAATTCAAGTAATCAAGCTCCTCTTTCAAGTTGACTGCCAGAAAGCTTAGGGCCAAAAAGGCCAAGACCATTGCCCAATGTTTATAAGCATATGCCTAGTTATATAATTTAGTTTTTATTAGCTTTATCCATAATGTATTTTTGTACCCTTGTTTCTAGTTTTCTTGCACTCATCTATTTTATTGCACCTTATATATTACGGTTTATATACTCCTTTTGGGATAAACAAAGCACTAATACATATGTTGAGAGAGAGAGAGAAAGACAGATTCCCAGTCACCCACCACTTAGTGCAGTGTTTGACAGGTGGTGGGTGCTGAAACAGATCATGGTCTTTTAAACTAGACCCACCCTCTCTCTTTCCAGGTCATCTCTCATCTGCTGATGTTCATGTTCAGTGAGCTCCTGGTCTCCATCTTGGTCATACTTGGTGAATATTGCCTCAATCTCTGCATCAGTATGGCCCTTCCTGAAATTGAGAGGATACAGATGAATTCATTCTTGTACATGGTCCAAACCCAACACAGAGAAATTAAAATGCAGGAGAAAGAGAAATCACTGAATGATGGGGGCCTAGCCTCCTCTCAGAGCATATTCCAGAAATGCTTCTCTATGAGTATCTGGGCTATAAACACTCTCACCAAGAATTGATTTTTAGCAGTGGAAACTTCCTAGTGACCCAGGATGTGTCACTCTTACCCTTTGAGATCTTGTCGAAGTTCATCAAAGTTTAACTTGCCTCCCCCTTGCCGCAGACTCTCTGAAATGTCATCCACAGTATTTTTTTTCAGTTTTAGTTTGACCAAAGCTTTATGGTAGCCCTAGTGGGGAAACAAAGCAGAACATCTGTTTATTTTTTCTGCTTTTGCATTTGCTTTACCTCTCATTTGTAGCATCAACAAACATAAACCCATTGCCTGGTGGAACTGAAGTGTGTGCTGAATGAATGAATAATAAATGAATAATATGAAAGTCCTGAGGAAGACATACGGAAAAGGTAAGAAGTTTTCAATAAACCAAGAATTGAGGTCCTTTCCTTCATATGTGTTTTTGAATTGGTTGACAAATAAAAATCACTACATATTACATAGCTATCAGCTCCCAAATATATAGGAATATGCAACAGTTCTTAAAGAAACAATCTGTGAGGTGAATAGAGAGCCTACATCTTGAGAGCAAATCTTTACCCCTCACACATCAGATAGAGCACTAATCTCTAGGGTGTATAAAGAACTCAAAAAGCTAAACACCAAAAAACCAAATAACCCAATCAATAAATAGGCCAAGGACCTGAACAGACACTTCTCAGAAAATATACAACAATCAATAAATATATGAAAATATATAAAAAGTTCATCATTTCTAGCAATTAGAGAAATGCAAATCAAAACCACTCTAAGATTTCATCTCACTCCAGTGAGAATGGCAGCTATTATGAAGACAAACAACAGTAAGTTGGCGAGGATGTGGGGGAAAAGGTATACTCATATACTGCTGCTGGTGGGCCTGCAAATTGATCAGCCAATATGGAAAGCAGTACGGAGATTTCTTGGAAAATTGGGAATGGAACCACTATTTGACCCAGCTATCCCTCTCCTTGGTCTATACCCAAAGGACTTCAAAACAGCATATTACAGGGACACAGCCATATTAATGCTTATAACAGCACAATTCACAATAGCTAAACTGTGGAACCAACCTAGATGCCCTTCAGTAGATGAATGGATTAAAAAAAATGTGGCATATATACACAATGGAATATTACTCAGCAATAAAAGAGAATAAAGTCATGGCATTTGCAGGTAAATGGATGGAGTTAGAGAAGATAATGCTATGTGAAGTTAGCCAATCCCAGAAAAAACAAATGCCAAATGTTCTCTGACATAAGGTGGCTGACTTATAGTGGGGTAATTAGGGGGAGCGTAGGAAGAATAAATGAACTCTAGATAGGGCAGAGAGGTAGGAAGGAAAGGGAGTGGGCAGGGCCTTAGCAAGGATGGTGAAGTGTGATGGACATCATTATCCAAAGTACATGTATAAAGACATAAATTCTTGTGAACATACTTTATATACAACCAAAAATAAAAATAGTGCTCTATATGTGTAACAAGAATTATAATGCATTCCACTGCCATTTATTTTTTTAAAAAATCAATAAAAAATGTGGCATATATACACAATGGAATATTAATCAGCAATAAAAGAGAATAAAATCATGGCATTTGCAGGTAAATGGATGGAGTTAGAGAAGATAATGCTAAGTGAAGTTAGCCAACCCCCCCCCCAAAAAAAAATACCAAAAGTTTTCTCTGATATAAGAAGGCTGATTCATAGTGGGGTAGGGAGAGGGAGCATGGGAGGAATAGATGAATCTAGATAGGGCAGAGGGGTTGGAGGGGAACGGAAGGAGTTAGGGTAAGGGTTAGGGTTATGTATGAAGACAGAATTGGTGTGAGTATACTTTGTATACAACCAGATATATGAAAAATTGTGCTCTATATGTGTAATAAGAATTGTAATGCATTCTGCTATCATATATAAATTAAAAAATTAATTTTAAAAAATAATACCAAGAAATCTGAGTCAGGGATTAATTATCTTTTCCTTGTCTCACAATAAATAATTTCTTTATATGTTAGATATGCGACAAAAAAATCCCAGTGAAATATGGATGAGGATTTTTCACTAACAAACTACAGAGTGTAGTTAGGGTGTAGTGAATGGTAGGGTGTAGTGAATGGTAGCGTGCTGGCCTAGCATGTGTGAGGCCCCAGGTTGATCCCCAGCACCACAGAGTCAAACAAACAAACAAACAATAAATTATAGACAGAGGTTACTTTTGCTTTGCATAGTAATACAGGTCTATAAAAATGACCTTGAAGACTGAAATTGTGAAAAGTGAGCCAAATAATTAACAGCAGAAATTTTAATTGTTCCAAGAACTTTAAAACATTTTGATGAAACATTAATACTCCCTTAGTGTCAGCTATAAATTCATAAATAAATAGAATATTAGTGCATTGAAATTTAAAACACTAGAAATATTGAAAAGTAAATTGTTATAATTCTTTGTACAAAAAAAGGATTCAGGGCAGTTTAAACTGTGCTTGTCGTCACCTTCTCATGTATTTCATCATATTATCCCCTTAAATGTGAACGGAATGTGTTTTCTGTACATCAGTGGATTGTCAAATTGCTTTCTAATTATGGATCACCTTCTGACAATGTTCTTTGCACTTTCACTGTTATGAAATATCTCTACAAACTCTTCGTTTTACTTGAAGATTTCTGCTGGCGTCCCCTCCTCCAAGACAGCTTCATTCTTTTCTTATTGATGTTGAAAAACTGTTCTTCTGGGTGTCCACCTGGATCTCTCCAGTGTTGACAGTGTCAACATTCCAGTGCTCAGCTACTTCTTGGAAAACCATGGCATTTGTTTTGATTTCACTTTCAGGCTTGTGTGTTTCCTTTCTTTCCTGCGTTTCATCTTTCTGGCCTATTCACTTTTTTCTATTATCATGTCTGTAAATGTCGCATAGGTTCATTACCGAGGACAAGAAAGCAACACTACACACTTTGTCACTGCATGAACCCAACAGCAGATGTCCAGTGACCAATCAGCAGCAGACAGGAAGCAGTGTCACCAAAGGTCCCCAAGCGTGAGGAACATCTGCTACTTAGGAATTAATGTGGGGATTAAAGAGCCAGCAATGGAGTTCATATTTTGTGCTCTTACTCACTGTTAATGAGCAGTGATAATGCAAACTTGAACCAGGTTTTTGAGGATTTGGTGTTATGTAACAAAAGTGTGGTACCTGAACATTGTGTGTTATCAAAACTGTGCACAATGTGGAGAGTTTCTGTACATGATGGAGATATGCTAAAATGTACACAACCGTGATGCTAAATTTAAGATAACAGGGAATTTAGGTCTCATGCAAGAAACTTGTAAGAAGCTGAAATTTACCCTTACACCATGATCCACAGATAATATGGTCCCAGGACTTGACTCAACAGAAAACAGGGTCAAGGAGCCCTTTTATTTACCAACATGATGTTGGACAACACACTTTTATACTACAGAAGTCTTTGTTATTGTGAAAATTTTATTTTTTACCAAATAAAGAAGTCACATGGAGAAGAACGAAGCTGCCCCACTTCCCTGTCCTGCCCTTTCTTCAACATCTAGCCCTGCCTGAGAAGCTAAGGAAATGGAAGTCCTCAGGCACCAGGCTGTGACCTAAATCCAAGGACCTTTGCCTTTGACCATTTTACAATTGTGCTTAGAAGGTCAAGGGTAAAGGAAATGGCACTAAATACTGGCATCTAAAACCTTTTCTTTCTTAATATGGTAATTGATATAGAAAAGCTGGAAATGGGTTTATATACTCTTGCCTTCCAGTTTATTCTGAGCTCAGGATCTGGAAGTGACAGTGGATTAGAGGGAATGTCCAAACATACAAAGGAGCTCAGACCCTAAGAGTTAACAAGGTTATTTCGAGTTGAATTCAGGAAATAAAAAGACTCCCTGATTTTCAAGCCAGCAGCACGGCTTTCAAGCCTCCAAGATAGAGAATATTTAAATTAGTCCTAAGATATAGTAATATATTCCTTATTTAAAATAATTTCAATGTATTATTATTGATTAGGAAATTTGAGACAATTATTATTTTAAGTAGGAAATTTTAAAATTCAGAGAATTTGGGATTATCTTACCTTTCTGATGAGGTCTGAAAGCTCCATTTCAGCTTTCTGCTGGGCAAAATCAGATTTCACTTCAGAGTAGGTATCATTGATGATGGCCAGAAACATGTTCTGTTTGTAAATCAAAGAAACGTAGAGGTTAAGAGACGAAGCCTAAACATATTTTGTAAACATTAATTCAATTTGACACATGCTTTTTGGTTCACACTTTTTCCCTCAATTAGAAGGCTTTATGAAGTCATAAGTAGTTTTGCTACCATCTTCTTCAAAAAAAAAATTTCCCCATTAAGTCATGCCAAAGGAAAATACACTATATATTATTACTTATAAAACCATGTATTTTGATATGTTTTACAAAAAGAGACAGAAAAATGGCAGAAAAATATTAATATCTTTACCTAAGAAGAATGGATTATTTTAAATTGCTTGTTTTGTTCCATACATGTAAAAAAGTCACATAAACTATTATGGGTATGGATCTGTAAAAAGCTCTTCAACTATCAAAAGTCAATACAAACAAGTAGAATTCTATGCTTTTACCAAATTTTTTATATGATCATATTTGATATTTATACAATATATTTTAAAGAGTTAAAAAGATCATGGCAAATAATAGGCCAAATTATATTATTATATTATGTGCATGTATAAATATGTAACAACAAATTCCAACATTATGCACAACAATAATGCACCAATAAAAATATGGAAAAAAATCTCTGCAAATAGGAATAGACTCAGTAGACAAAGAGTTAAGAAAAAAAAAGAAGAAAACTTTGCAGAAAGATATAGACTTTGTAGTTAAGTAAAATTGGTTTTCAGTTTTGCAACTGCTAAGACTATATGGTTCAACTTTTTTAAGTTTCATTTTTAGGATATGTTTTGCATTCATGTAATGGAAAGTTACAGTTTTTCCCTTCACAGATTAGTAGTATGGGACAATGCAACACAATGCAAAATGCTCAGGATGTGTCCTACTGCAAGGCAAGGGCTAAATTATTTGCACTTATTATCATCATTCAGTGGCTGCTACTTTGTTCACTCTCCTGAGTTTTCCTTCCCCAGTGGTAATGCTTTCTAGTCACAGCATCTGATTGCAATTAACTATCTCCAAGCACTGCAAACCATAGGTCTTTTACATGTTTTTACTCTTTGTACCTAACTTCGGTTTGCAAGGATAGAGTGGTATGTGTAATTTTTTCTGTTTCCCCACATAAAAGTCCATGAACTCTTCATCAGGGCAGACTCAGGCTCTGCTTGCCTTACCATGACATCCTCGGTATCACCCATATGCCTCCTACTGTGCAATACACATTTATACATACTATACGCTATATGTAATATTATAGGGATAAAGTGATGGAGTCAATATTTATTGATTCATTGATACATGAACAAAACAGGGCTCTCATTTTAGAAGGCTACTGATTCTCCATCAGAAAGAATACTAGTGTTCTGAAGCTGTGAGAACAGAATATAGAATACAAATAAATTCCTTGCTAAAGGCTCCATTTGGAGGGTAATTTCAGTCAGAATGTCTTCCACCTTTCTTCTTTCCAACCCAGATGTCTACCATTGTATTCTGGCTTTCCAGTGGCTACATGATGCTTGCAAATGTCTTATTTGAAATGGGTTCAAGGGGTGGGTCCTCTGAAGACATTTTGAAAAGTATAGTGGCAGAGTAAGGCTCCTGAAGGGGTGGGAGAGGAGATTCACTTTTTTCCAGTCTCACCAGGGTCACCTAGCTGTCAGATGGGCCTCTGTACTAGGAGATCATTCCCTGTGTGTAGGGAGATGGGGGAGAGTGATTCTGGTCCTGACTCAAATAAGCCTCTTCACACCAACATGGATTATTTTTAAACAGAGGCAATGAATTAATACCAGGCAGTAAGCTTTCAAAGAGAGCCAATACTACAGTCAGCTTGTTATTTGCTTAACAGACAAGTTTGTATTGAAAGTAGCCTCTTGTCTATTACCTATCCATTTATCCAACTATGTATGTCTATGAGATGCAGGGAAAATGCAGCACTGAAAAGGTTATATTTTAATACAAATACAAAAACTAAAAGCTTGTTTTCCTGCTCTGCAGATTGATCCAATAAAATGACTGAATGATCTCAAGGTGCTGCCTTTTGAAGTACAATATTGAAACGAGTCCTCATCTGAGCAGTTCATATCATCATAGTTTTGTCCCTCATTTGGCAGACTGATCACTGAGAACACTAGGTGGCCTGAGGTCAACCGAAGGATCTACTGCAGGACTCTCAATTCCTGGTCTGTTATTGGAGGAGACATTCAGGTGCCCCAGAATCCAAAGCACCACCAATGTGAGAGGGTGACAAAGGCTTAAGCTTCAGCTAATTTATTTATAACAGGAAGGAGACACTTAGGAGGATTCAGTTCACAACCTAGCCAGGATGCCTGCACACAGCAAGATACAAATGGACTTGCTTGAAACTGCTGCACCTTCAGGGCCTGTTCAAGAGCATCATGACTCTATCAGTGAATGCCATCTACTAACCAGAAATACCTGAGCCCACCTTCAGAATGCTACCCTCAATTACTGCAAATGTCATCATTCAACCTTTTACAAAGGATCTTTATAAAATTTACTGAAAATGGAAATGACTTCTTTTCTTAAGATGACTCTTAAGGCAATCATTAAATCTGAGTGTTATATGAAAAATACCCAGTGCCTAAGTTAAACTGAGTTACTTTAATACTTTTCAGTAGACTAAGTGAATGTATAAATGTTAAGACAAAACACACACACAAAAACGTGGAATGTAATAATTCACTCAAATACTACTCCTGATATCCTGGATCTAGCTTTCTTTGTCCCTTTTATTTTACTTTTTTAAAGAAGAGTAAAATGAAAAGTAATGCTAGCAAGTGACTATGAAGTGTTGACATTTGTGTTAAAAAAAAGTGTGAGTGAGCATATTCTACTTTTGAGGCAAAGTATTGTCTTAAGTAATATAATAAATTTGCACTTAAGTTTGAACTTTTTTTTCTTTGAGTAGAAACACATATGAATAAATGAAAGGCAATGAAAAGAAATATTTTGTTAAGACTTAAAACTTTGAATGAATGAAATGTAAAATAAAATTTCCAAAATCAACATTTTGTTCTACTTCCTGGTCTCTATTTAAAATAATGAAGAATAGAGCGGGGAAAAAAAAGAGAAGATGGTGATTCTTGAACATTAAATCTAAATCCCCTCACTATAAACAAAAGTGTACATACCAAAAGAATGAAGAACATAAAGAACACAAAGGTAGTGAAATACAGTGGTCCCAAAACTCGATTAGCTTCCTCAATCTCTGCAAAGTTGATATCACCCAAAATGATACGGAATTGAGTGACGCTATAAAAACAAAACAAAACACCACAATACAGAAACAAAGAATGTCCCGCAACTGATGCAACATTTATTAAAGATGATTTCACATTTTAGGATTGTTGTGGAAGTGTTGATAGCTCCCAAATAATTAAAAATTCAAGTCCTTTAGAAAAATCTTGCTGCTTATGTCAGCAATGGGAGTGTTCTGTAATAATAATATGCTTCCATGCTACATATTATTTCCATCTGGTTAATATTAAATGTAATTATTACTAGGTAACTTGTATAGCAACTGGCTTTAACAATCTAAAACATAATCTGGCTAAAATATGGCCTTTCTATATCTCCACAATGGTCACTCTGGACCTGAAGACAATATCTCTTAAGAGAAAAAAAGAAAAGATTTTTTAAAGGATGGCTAGATTACATGTGTTCAAAGATTCAACAATCTCACATTAATTCAAAATGAAGGGAAAGTGACTGGACATTTTGAGTGCTGGGTTTTAGTAAAATCATTTCCTTCACTGACTTTGATCAAACAGCCAGGTGAATTAGGACTCCCCATGCACAAAGCCCTATCAACTTCAATGTCATGTTATTCCTCTCCTTTCCTAACTACTAATCCCTTTGTAAATGGCAGGGGAATCCGATATGGACTCTTTTGTTGGTTTTGTTTTTCCTGTATCTGGGAACTCTGGAAAAAGACTGAAAAGTTCTGTACTCTAATTCCCCCCTAGAATATTAGAAATATCTATTCTTTTACTTATAAAATAACTGGAAGTTCAAAATGTATGGCAACCTATTTATCAAGAATGAAAATATACAAAAATGGCCTTTTAAAAGACTCTCATGTACTTTGGGAGCCAGGAAGACCTTGGTCTTGGAATAGTGGTTTTCTGTGGCTATTCCACTTTATCTCAGTACCTGAGGGCAGCTATCTTAAGCATCAGCATTTCAGAAGGTATTAACAACTTTGCATTGGTAGGTAAATGTTTCTGGAAAAGGTGACTCATTTTTATTTTGAATAAACATTTTTAACTCTTCCATAGTGCTCAAATAGCAACTGTGAAGATTTCTTAATCCTTGAGAAGGCAGTAACATCTCTGATTATATTTTTCTTCTTAATTTCATATATACTTACATACATTCTTGGAAAGAACTGAAGTCATCAACCTGAGCACCAAAGACGAGGTACGCCAACTGAGCATATGCTAAGAATATAATGAAGAACATAATGGCAAAGCCAAAGAGGTCTTTGGCACAACGAGACATGGTTGTAGACAGTTGGCTCATCGTCCTGTTAAAATTGATGAATTTGAAGAGCTGTAAAAGAGGAAAGACAGTGACAGATGAATGGATAAACACAATATGACACATACATACAATAGAATATTATTCTGCCACAAAACGGAATGGGATTTGGGTACATATTACCATGCAGACCTTGAAAACATCATTCCCAGGGAAACTATGTCATGAAAGGTGGAAACTGTACCATTGCACATATATGAAGCACTTAGATTGGTAAAATAAATAGAAAGCAGAAAGTATGTTACCAGGGGCTGAGGTGAGGGGGAGATGGGAAGTTAGTGCTGATGTGCACCTTAGGATGATAAGGCTCTGGTAGTGCACAGTGGTGATGGTGGCCCCACACTGTGCATGTCCTTCGTGCCACAGCACTCCACATTTTAAAATGTGACAATGGCAAGTTTTGTGTTATGTGTTTTAACCACAGTAAGACCAAAAGAGAGAGGACAGAAAGGACTTGGTTTTATTGTTTTCCAAAACCAGCTCTTCTATTCTTTTATTCAAAAAGGGTCTGCTAAGTCCCTAACCCATGACAGGCTCTGTTCTTGGAGTTGGAAGCAGGGAACAGAACACAGCTGCAGCCTCATGTGGTCACATTTTCCAGGATGATTAACATATCATGGAAAAGGGCTTCCTCACAGTTTCAATGACTAGTGATATTTTTCCTCAAAAAAGGATTAAAATGTAAAAAAAAAAAATCTCTAACAAATAAACACCACAAAACATTTCAGGAAATACTATTTGTGTATCAGTAACTATCTTTTATTTGGGCATCAATTATGTGGCAATGGTTTTCTCATATAGCTGAGTAAGCAGCCTGAGAAACACAAGGTGAGGTCTATGCCCTCTGATAAACCTCAGTGCTTCCAGGGAAAAGCAACAATTCAGGAAAATACACAGCTCTTGGTAAGCACCTTCCTCAACAGTTGTTCAAGTGAACCTTCTGTGATGGTAGAAAGGTTCTACTAGTTCCATTTCCTAAAACAGTATACACTATTAACACAGAGACATTACACATTTAAAATGTGGTTAGTGGGAATGAGGAACTGAAATTTTTATTACATATAACCTTAATTAATTGAAAGTGAAATGGGCTGGGGATGTGGCTCAAGCGGTAGTGTGGTAGTGCGCTCGCCTGGCATGCGTGTGGCCCGGGGTTCGATCCTCAGCACCACATACAAACAAAGATGTTGTGTCCACCGAAAAATAATAAAAAAAAAATTCTCTCTCTTTAAAAAAAAAAAGAAAGAAAGTGAAATGTAAATAGCCACCTGTAGCCAGCAGTTATTGTCTGTACAGCACAATCAGAACTTGAGCTGTTTGTAAATGGCACAGGAATCCAATTGGTGGTTGCTTCAAAATTAATGAAATTTCCTGCATCGCCAAAAATGAGGCTCATTATATATAAAAATGTCCTAACCTTTCACACACCTGAAAATACCAATTATGTTTTGTGAAAAGAGGGAAATGAGTAAGTTAGGTCCTCCTTAGAGGAAAGGTCTGTCGCAGCTGACATTCTGGGTAAAGCAGATTGTTCTAACAAGCATTTCCAGGTGCAGCATCTCTCCATTTCCTGCAAATGATCCCCTCTCTCAGTTCCTTTTCATCTCCTGGTCACATTACATAAGTTAAAACTCAGATCTGCCCCAGTGTTAGGGTAACCTGGTCCCCCAAGCCCAACTAACACTGAAAAGGCCTCTTTTGTTTGTGTTAAATGACATCTACAGGATCTGATCTTGAAAGAATTCTGGCAGCAGAAGTAGCATCATCCATAATGAGAGGAACCATCCCATGAGTCCCACTAGTTTTTCTTGATATAAATTATGGAGCAGCTTTGGCTGGCCACAGAATTTGCCCAAAAAAGGCAAGTTCAAGTCCTTTAAAATTTTGTGTGACTCATGTTAATTAAAGGAAGAAAAAAATAGTACTAAAAACCCAGAACATGTTCTGAATCAATTACCTTAATCCACACAAAAAATACTGTGACAGCAGCTATATTATTGAATTGTATTTGCCAATATGCCAGATGCTCAAAGTTGGGGAAAGTATTCTGGTCTTCCAGAAAGTGGAGTAGGCCCTCCACATTTGATGTTCGATATAAGCTAATTCCTATAGCCATCACCGAGAGCTGGAAAACAAAACGCTTATATTTCATTATACTGCTTTCAAAGAAGCTTACCTTATAATGAGTAGTTTATTTTTCTTCACCATGTATAGATGCCACATCTGGCCAATATGCACACCCAATGGCATTCATTAAAGTCACACACTCAAATGGCAATGCTTGGCACTGCCATAAAAGACATTCACAATATATATTGCTTGCATTTCCTTACTTAGGAACAGAAATCCAATAAGTGCATGTGTCCATGGGCCTGTGCATACAATGAATACCCACAGATGCACCCGAGATGTCACTATAACAAACCCAAACTCGAGAAGGAAGGCCTTCTGATCATTTTGCCACCCACATATAAATCATTTTCTACCCCCTCCTTTCTTTTCCTGATTTTTCTGGTTTTAAGTTTAGTTTTTAAATTTTTCTTGTGTGCCTCTTCATTCTGGAGTTTCCAGCCATCCATTCTTTCTCTTCAGATGTGCACGTACACACAGTGTCTGGGCCAGGAAGAACATATGGAAGTGAACTTGGGGTAAGCTCCACTCCACAAAAACTCACACTCTTAAGTCAAGACAACATAAACACACAAAGCTAAATAATACAAAAAGCTCCTAAAGAGTTGGCATCACACAACATGAGGTGAAGCTGAAACCAGACACACTGAAAAGGAGTGCACAAAAGAGGACAGAATGTGCTTGGTCTTAGAATATGGTGGGAATGAAGGTCAGAGAGGCTCAGGAAACTTGCAGTGAAGTATATGAACAAAGGGTTCCTTCTTAATCATGGCTATCTCTGCATTTATAACATACAACTTTTCACATGTTTCTTGGGTCTGAGCTATACAAGATCGGAGGGAACAATGGCCCCTTCTGCCACCCACCACCACTGGACTAATGTGCATTATGTGAACAGCTCACTGTAGTATCTGTGCCTTTCTGTGGGATCTGAGTCTGCACCACGTGGGCTGTGACAGGTTCTTTGACCTTCTTTGTTCCTTCCCTCTACTTTTGAATGATGGCCAAAGACCACTTCATTAGACCTTCGTGAGAGAATAATCCAGACCAGGTGATTTTCATAGAAAAGACCCACCTGGCTGACAATCACAGCTAAAAAGCCAACCTCACTTTCTTTTCTTATCAGTGAAGGATTTCCAGATACAATCTTGAACTTTTGTGCTGATGGTAGGAACATTTTCTTAGAGCTCTCTGAAAATGTTCTTGTACATTGACTCATCTGAGAGGGATAAAGATGCTGGGGTTGGTTGAACAAATCCAACAATAACCCTCTACACAATTCTCACATGGTACAATTTGCTACCTAGTCCAGATGTTTTTACTCCACACAGGAGAAATGTTCATAAACACATGGAAGTAGTGGTTGTTTATACAACATCAATATCATGTTACATTAATTTTCCTTGGAACACTTTCTCCAAAATAGTGAATAAAAGAAGAGAGGTGAGAAAGAGGTTTGTGAGCATGTGGGTTGTTAGGTTACTCCTGATTATCTCTGGGATTCTCATCCACATCTACAAAAGACCTTTCTCTCCATATTAGAATGTCAGCTTTATAAAGGCAGAGGATTTGGTTATTTTATTTGACTCTGTATCTCCAGTGCCTGGAAAAGTGCTATACATAGTAGATGCTTGGAAAATATCCGTTGAATAACTAAACATCTTTGCTCTGAGACACAGCAATCAACATTATTTTAACTTAGTCCTGTAAATTGTCTTTTTTCAATATTTCTGCTAGCTTCAAAATACTGTAGCCTAGGACAATTGACTGACTGACATAAACCTGTAGACTTCAGAGTATTTGCTGCAGAAATAGAATGAGAAAAGAGTGAAAACAATTTCAAAGTAACAGCGAGATGTGATCCTTAAAATATAATTTTTTTTTCAGGTTTTAAGGTGAACTCAAACAAATTTAGGCTAGATGACAGAAATCCTTGGCTCAGGGTACATTTGGGGATGAGTAGGAAGCATGTCCTTACTTCTAGTTGGTGAAAAAATTTTCAGTAAGAAGGTGAATTGCAATTGTCCTTCCCTGTTCTATATGAAGTACAGTCTCAACTGTGTCATGGAACTACTCAGAGTTAAACCAAAACAAAGGAAAGCAGGAAAAAGTTTTGAAAAGATACTTGCAAAATGCTGTGACTGCTAAGATACAGAAATAATCTTTGACCCACATATCCCCATCTATTTTCCCACGGGTGTCCATAGTAGGTACAAGGCAACTCACTGGAGTGTGGCATAAAAACTTGTAGGTATGTAAGAAGAAAGTGCTCAAATTCTCTTTGTATTAATTTTTATATTACTCTTCTAAATTCTCCTAGTATGAGCGCACTCGAGTGCGCGCGCACGCACACACACACACATAATATACTATAGTATTCAAAGTTTTCACTGATAGAAATACAAGTTTAAAAACAATGAATCCTACCAACTAGTCTTTTGTCAATACTGAAGTCATCTGGTTAAAAGAAATCTGTTATGTTAGTATAACATCACACTTACCTTTTTGCCATTATTCTCAATAACAAATAAATTTATATAAGTCCAAAAAGAGAGTTTCCATCCTTAAGGGTTACAAACAATAACTGTGTTCCAAAATAATTCTTACTGTATAGGGTCTGTAATCTGCCCTCCCTTAGTAGAGAATATTTTGAAAAGTTATTTCCAGAATTGTTGCTTCTCCTACTTCCTTAAGTACTGAAAGTCTTTTATAACTCTACTCATTATTAATACATTGGAAATGTGGAGGACAACTCCTGTCACCTTGATTTGTGTGGGCTGTGTGATGTTACACAGCCATCATGAAAGAAGGAGGCGGTTTTGACTGCACTAGGTTCCAGACTGTAGCTATTCTGTATGAATTTTTTTCTAAGTATGACCTTTTTCTATAGCACAAATGTACATGGCTCCAGAAGCAGGTGCAGAGTGAGTAAGAGGATTAGTGGAAAAGTTAACTAAGCTTTTGTAAATGGAAAGCATTTGGAAATGCACATAACACAGTAGCTTCTAACCAGCAGACTGTTGTTATTATTATGATTGGTACTAATATTGTTCATTACCATGAAACACATGCCTGGGCAGTTTTACTTATGCCTAAAGTGTCCTTTCACTGAGTGACATGTTTTCTTAACTAATACTAATGAGAAATGATTTAATACTGACTTGATGTAAATGCTTCACAAAAGCCAAATAAATTTTGGGGAGAGGAGCAAAGGAAAGAATAACTGTCACCAGGAAGGCTAAGACAAGAGATTGCCAACAGGATAATGAATCATTTCCTGAGATTTCTGAGGTTCATTTCTATGCTAGGCAGTGGGCATAGATCAATATATAAACAGAAAAATATGACATCACTATTCTATTCAAAATTTTAAGCACGTAATAATTAGGTGCATTGTTACATGGCTAAATGTGTAACAAAACTTAGGCAAAGGTTGACTATTATTGCTGAAGGAAGACACAAGTTTGACAATTCATTTTTACACTGAGGCCTCTGGAAGGAAGTGATTAATTAATTGACTCCAATGAAGGGAAAACAAATTGAACAACTGTTAGAAGTTAAAATACAGTCAAGGGCAGGCACAACATCTAAAAGTTGTTTTAGTCTTGACTATGTAACTGTGCTTCATGATTTCTTGTACCTTATACAGAGAACTTTGATGGGCATAACTTAAATTTTGTTCTCTGTGGACTATTCGCAGGAAATTCTTAACCTAAGAAGGTTTACTCTGTCGCTCAAAATATTTTCAGGATGTTCCTTCTTGCCATAACTTGACACATAGGCAGAAAAATGTAAATAAATCTTAATAGAAGTTGAACCCCAAATAAATAATTTTATCTCCTATATCTCATATGGCTGGCCACAGTCAAATAGTAATTGCTGAGTTATTCTCATGATTAGTGTGGTTATTTGAGAGCTCACTGTAAATGCCCCTCTACACCATAGTTAGTAAGGTCTCACATGAAAAATAATTTGTAATGCAGAAGTGGATGTAATAGAGAGAGGAAATTTTAGATTTTCTTCTGGAAATATCAAGATCCACAGTTCGGAGGAGATCAAAGACTGTAATTAATATGCTTTTGGGATAAGGTAGGGAAATTGGTATTGCTTTTCAACCTACCACAATGATCACAACATCCAGACAATTCCAGAAACTCCTGAAATATTGTAGTTTGTGAATGCGAATTTCCAATATCTCTTCCACGACATAATAAAGGATAAAGAAACAAAAGATAGTCTCACAGGCTGCCAGGAAGAAATCAAAAGTGGTGACGTAGCGAATCAGCTTTACAGGTTGAAATTGCCAAGAGGGAACCACACCGCCTGTTGCTGGGAATTCAACCAATAACCTGCATTGCAATAAGAACAATTAAAACAACTACAGCACAGGGTTATAGCCAGAAGGGTGTTTCTTCCTTTTCTCTGAATTACAACGTAATAAATCTGCTACCATAGCTCACCCAAGCTAGTGGCAAATCATTTTTATTATGGCCAATACCAACACACTTGTAGAATCTTGTACTATAAAAGGAACCAGAATTCCCCAGACCTTCATCCAAAGGATTCCTTTCTCTTCAGGCTTCCCTTTATTTTTTTCTGGCATTTGTACTGTTTAAAATACTGTACAATTTTTTAAAATGGATAGTTAATCAACAAAGAAATCTTTCTAATGCTACTATTAGGTGCAAGTCATTTTACTAGGTAGCATGAAAAAAAACCCAAATAAAAAATATGCACTAAAACATATGATCGGGTTGAGAAGTAGGATATATATTTTGCAATCTATGAAGATAGGCCTGAGCATCACATTCATTCATTCATTTACTAGGTAATGCCTAATTAGCACCAGATACTTTCCTCCAGGATACTTTCTTTCCCCTCCCCAGTGCTTTGGGGTTCACAGGCTCTCAATCAGGGCCTATTGTCTGAAGCAGTAACATGTTTCCATTCATATTGATGGCACTGATCATCAGTGCTTTCCTATGATTGAACTAAAATTCCCATTTAACAGTTCTCACATTAAGTAAGTTAAATGATTCACTTAATGGTACCATTTTCCTATCAAATTAGAAACAGAATCTTTAACTCCATGATTTCAGACATTTAAAAGCCCTTGGGAAGCTACTAGGCATTGCTATCTCCTCTGGTACAGGTAGGACTAGAGAGTAGCAGTGAGGACCACAATTTCGAGAGAGCAATACGGAGAGCAGAGCCTGGTGACAGCCTCAGAGTCAATTGTAAGGGGAAGGAAGTGGCTCTGTGTCAAGTCATCTCTCTCTGACCCATTCTGGCCCTGTACTTGGCAACCACTTCCAGAAAATTAGAAAGCCACATAGGAAAAAGGAGTAACTGGCCTTGATGGTCATCACCCTTAAAGTCTGGGAAGGACATACTCAGACTAAGTGAGAGAGAGAGCTAGAATTTTTATAGATAGACATTGACTTAAATGTTGGCTGCTTGCCTGTTTTTATCCTCTTCTAATTCTCTTGGAATCATTAAGGGAAAGTTCACCTCAGGTGCCTTTGGTGAGACTTAAGCATGAGCAGGAATCCATAAAGTATAGCCCCTGACACTGTCTATGTACTAATGCTTGGGCATCATCTGAGAGTGGGAAGGTCAGGGAAGAGAGTCTATGTTTGACAGCCTTGGAACATGTAATGGAGCACATAGCTCTGCTCATCCTCATAATGGCTGAGGATAGGTGTTAGAAAATCAGATGCTTTTTCTGAAAAGGGTCTGAACTGGGATGAACTTGGACTAGATTTAAGGTTCTTTCCAAATCATAATATTCTAGGATCATAAATCCCTTCCTGAAATCTCCATGTCCCACTAAGACTTCAGTTTTCACCCCTGCCTTGTTATTGGCCTGGATCCTCATTTATACGGCTATAGGCAAGAGTTGGTTGGCCTATCTCCAGAATAGGATGTACAGGCACTCCCCGAATTGGGAGCTTTCATGTGTGCCCTCAGTACACACCTGACCACGCAGAACAGGTTAATGTTGGCATTGTACACTGAAAAGTCAATAAAAGTTGCCCTGGTTCCTCGGTCCAACCAGACATTTTTCCTGAGGCTAGTAATCTGGGCAGCTGTTTCCTCTCTGGTTCTTGACAAATCCAGGTAATAGCCAGCTCCACTGTAAGATGCGATTATTCCCCAGTGGCTACTCCCATTCAAGTCTTTTTCACTTGTGTAGATCCAACTAATTTAAAAACAAAAACAAACAGGTAAAATCAGTGAAATATCAATGGCAATTACAAGGTTCCTGGTAAGATAAGGATAGGAAATATGGTGGAATGAGATGGACATCATTACCCTAGGTACATGTATGATTGCACAAATGGTGCGTCTCTACACTGTGCACAACCACAGAATTAAAATATTGCACTCCAGTTGTGTACAATGATTTGGAAATGCATTCTGTTGTCATGTACAACTAAGTAGAACAAATAAATTTTTTAAAAAAAATAGAAATAAGCCTTATCATACTGAGTAATACACTTGATGTGGTACTTCATTAGTGTTTTCTTATTGAATTGTCATACAGTGTTTAGCCCCAGTATAGCACTGAGGGTCCTAAGGATTACTGAGATCAATTTAGTCCCAAAGTTTTGATGGTAGAGTTGAGAATACACATAGGGCTGTCTGTCCGCAGAGACTCTGCCATCAGTCCCGAGTTCCCATTGCTACTTTCCCTAATGATTGTCTATACTCAAGGACTACATGACTCCAAGTCCCCAGTGAAAATCACAGATAAAAGGGGACAAATCCATCCTGTGTCTTGATATGTGGTCTCCAGTTTTCCATATAAAATACACATGATGCCTGTATTAGAGATGCATATATTTTGTGAGAGATAAAATAATACATCTATAAAAAGAATCTCACACAGAGTAGGAGCTGGAAAAATTTCTTATTAATGATGTGAGATAAAGTAAAATATTTGAAAAGGCACCACTGATTAAATATATTATTTTGCAGGACCTAGAAAAAGGAGCATTAGAAAGTATAATCACTTTCATAACCTGGAAAAAAATCTTTTCAGATTATTTAGTACCTTTGGTCTAATCTCCTGATTTCTACTAAATTTGTGACTTTTGAGCCTTGGTACTAAATACAATGTACACTGAATTGTAGGTAAATTATGACAAGATGTCATTGAAAAAGGTATTTGTCCCATTGAACATAACAAATGTGGATTCTGGGTGACTCAGTTCTCAAGAAAATGATGCAGATGACCGAACAGTAGTCGTTCAGCATTGCTTAGAAGGTGGCTCTGCCATAGTGACTTACCCTGGGGCAGCCACCTCAGGAGGCCCACCCTGAGACAGCCTGAGAGCTTTGCCCATTTCTCTGGCATAACTACAATAATTCTAAACCTAGGAAGTTTAGAATGCAGAAATGTTTGAAGCATGGGTACTAAAGTATACTAAAACTCCTGCAAAGGTGCACATGTACAAATGTATACTTAGGATTATAAACATACATTTTAAACCAGGGGCTTTAAGTCAGACAAAAAGAAAGAAAGAAAGAAAATCCTGCCTCACCAGCTCACACTTTAAAAAAACTACACTTTTCATGGAGATTCCCTGAAAAACTAAAAGTAGAAGTAGCATATAAGCCAGCAATCTCACTAGTGGGTATTCATCCAAGTGAAATTAAATCAGTATTTCAAAGGGACCTCTGCATCCCCATATTTATTGCAGTACCATTCACTTTAGCTAAGATACAGAATCAAAAGAAGTGTCTATCAACTGAAGAATGGATTAGAAAATCACACACACATAGAGGAATATTGTTCAGCAATAAGAAAGAAAGAAAGAGAGAAAGAGAGAGAGAGAGAGAGAGAGAGAGAGAGAGAGAGAGAGAGAAAGAACGAACAACCAACAATACATGCAATCCTGCCATTTGTGTAAAAGTGAAAGGACCTAGAGGACGTGATGTGATGTAGGTGAAAGAAGACAGGAAAAAGGTAAATATTACATGTTCATGTCCATATGTGAAAGTTGTAAAATCAATCTCATAAAATTCAAGCACAGAATAGTAGTCACTAGAGTTTAGGAGATATCACGGAGTGGGGACAAAAGAAGCCAGATCCAGGGCGCAAAAACCCAGTCAGATAGGAAGAAATACTTCTGATATTCCACACCACACAGGGTAACTAGGGTCTGTAATGACTCATGCTATATCTCCAAATAACAAGAAGAAACCAAAGTTTCCCAACACAGAGGAATGATTGAGGAGATGGAAATATTAATCACTCTGATTTGATCATTACTTATTGTAAACCTGTGTCAAATTATTGTACTGCACCATAAATATGTACAACTTTCATGTGCCCCAAAATAACTACACTTTAAATAATTGCATTCTAAACAAAAAGCTATTTATAAGAAATACTAAAAAAAAAAAAAAAAAAGGAATTTCTACATCAGAAAAGTTCCTACTGAACAACCTAGGGGACAATATATACATGGCCAACAGACCTAGAAAGTCAAGGTCAAATGTTTTCTCTCATGCAACAGCTAGACCAAAATAAGGTGGAAAGTGAGGAGCTGAGGGAGAATCCCATGAAAACAGAGAAGAAATCAGTAAAGGAGAGAAAATGGACTAAGCGGGAAGAAGGAGGGCTGGGAAAAGGAAGAAACAGTGGAATGGAACTAACCCAACTATGCTATGTACATACATGAATATGCCAAGTGAATTCACCTTTATATATGTCCATTACACAGTGATTAAAAAAAAAAAACAACTATAAATAAACAGAAGAAAGGCCAGTAGGGTCAAAGAAAGGGAAAAGGGAGGAGGCAGTAGGAAGGTAAAGGGGGAAGTACTGAGTACTGAATTAGAGTAAATTATATTCCATGCTTGTATAATTTTATCAAAATAAACCCCAATATTATGTATAACTATAATGCACTGATTTAAAAAAGGATCAAAACATCTTAAATAAAAGTTTAAAGACTCAGGTAATTTGTTTTTTGTGGGTCACACAATCAACAATTTAGCCTTTTGGAAATATGCATAGAGAAACTAGAAGGGAATTGAAAAGTAGAGAAAACTTCAGACACCAGATGTCAGTTTAGCCCAAGCTTTAAAACAAGCTTTGAGGACTCACTGAAGGCATCTTCTAATTGCTAAAACCATCAGAGAATAAATGATGGAATTTCAGTGGGAGGTCAGAGGATGAGTCAATGTCACTCAGTGGCCACAGTCCCAGATACTTACGCAGTTCCATTTCGTGGCCCAAATGGAGCCCTGTCTTCGCTACTGACAGAGTAAACATCATAGCACTCTTTAATTTCCTCTCTCAAGTCCTGGGGGATGGAACAGGATCCATTTCTGACTTTGACTTGTCGTATGCGTGGAACCCCTAACAGCAGGTTCTCGTAGAAAATGAAACTTCGGTTGTCAGCTTCTGTTTGGTTGCTGGGCTGCACCTTCCAGTACAGCCCATCCAGTAAGGGGCCTTCTGCAAACTAAAAGCAAAGACAACTTTTTTTTTTCTTCTTTTGCCTTTTTTCATCATTATTTATTTATTTATTTTTATAATTATTTGGTGCTAGATCACACCCAGAACTTCACAAATGCCAGCCAAGCACCCTTCCACTGAGCCACATCCCCGGCCCAATGGCATGTTTTTTTAAAAACCTCCAAGTCTTGCCTCTGCCTGGAATATTTGCATTACCAGGGCTTTGGCTACTCTGAACAAGGTACAGCAGTAAGAGGGGGTTCTGTTGTCAGTACACTTGGCACAGGATGGGTGCTTAATAATTGGCCACTCTGATTTCTATTCTGGGACTAAAGGCAGTCAGGTGAGAGTATTGTGTGAGTCCACAGCCACAATCAATTCTACTCTTCCTTATGAAAACAGCATTCTACATAATCATGGCTCTGAGCTAAAAGGTAAGAGTGTCAATTGTCAGCCTATCATCTGGTGGATTTTTTTTTTTTTTTTAATGTCTGGACTCCTGCTCTACGGGAGCCTTTCAACATATCTCCTCCTCTTTAGAGCTTGGAATTTATTATCACAGAATTGTATATGTGTGAGAAATCTCTTGTTAGTTTGTACAAGGAGCTACACCCCAAGGGAAGAAAGATCTAGCCACTTCTCAGCGTGTAATCTTTATCAGATGATCAGCAGAGATAGCTACCAGTTCCACTGAGGGGGCAAATGTTAATATTATACAAATGTGCTTTTGATGCCAAGTACTGTTATTTATTAATAGATTCCCATGACTCAGGTTTTTTTTTTTTTTTGTATGTTTAAATCCATAGTTTTTACCCAGAGGTTAGTCAGAATTTTACAAAGTATCTCAACATGGAGAATCAATCATTTTCTTTCCATTTCCATCAGATTTTCTTAGACACTGAGCACCATATTGCCCAGATTGGCTTAAAATTTGTTCTATATAACTTTTTGCTTATGCTCTGCTACTATGGTTGAATTTGTGACACTAGGAAAGGGACTGGGTTGAATTTTACATTGGCAAACCTTTGAAAGAATATGCTTCCCTTGTATTAAACATCATCCCAAGAGCTGGGGATACATGTCATCACCAACAAAGACAAAACACAAAAGCCAAGCAACACAGAGCAACCAAAATGCTCTCCTGATTCTCAATGTTTACTGAACCATGAATGGCTGAATGAATAATAAACCGGCACAGAAAAGTGGCTGTCATACTAGGAACAAGTCTCTTATTCCCCAGCCAAGTGACCTTGCACATTTAAACACCTGAATCTCATTTGCAAACTGGGGATAACAGCAGTATTGACCTTGTAAATTACCATGGGGATTAAATGAGGAAGGTATGAAATACCCAGTGTGGCATAAGGCGTCTGCAAAGATCTCAATAAATCTTAACTTTATCCTTCTTTGAAGGTAGCAGCAGTAGATTTGAAGAACTCACCATGACTTACAACATCTCACAAAGTAGTAAACACTCAGCAGGCCCTGACGATACACATGCAGTGAAATTCTGAGGCCAAATAAACAAAGTTAAGGCAAAAATATGTACTTTCAAAGTTATTTGCAAATACCTTCCAGAAGTCCTCCATTGAAGAAAGAGTTTTAAAGTTCGTTTTCTCTGTTTTAGACAATGGGGTGTCTAGGAAGAGCTGCGACATTATCCGGGTGTAGTAGTACACATTGGAGCTCATCATGCCATAGGTCACTGGAACACAGAAAGAGCCAAATGAGCCCACAAGGCAACCTGCACACACATTTGCACAGCTTACAGATTCCACAGGTGGACTATGGCTGGTTGATGGACATTTTGAATGGACAAACATTCATGTTAGGTCTTTTTTTTATATTTGTCTTCCTTCTTACATCATTCTTCTAGGACATGTCTACATCTTTGGCTTATCAGACACATTTAACATTAATATTGACCACTGTGAAACAAAATTGGTTCACCATTGAGCATCAAGTTAAGATCAGATCATTTTACTGGATGCTTGGGGTTTCCAGTGTGCCAGTTTGTCATCTCCCTTAGCTTCCTGTGTCAGACCACAGGCTGGTGAGTCTGATGTGCACAAGTTCAAAAGGAGCAGTGCCAAGCTCCTCAAGCTACGGGCATAACATAGACAGGCCCTTCTCTGGCTCTCTCAGATGAACTTTCCATTTCTCTTTCTCTGCTCAGTTCCTGAGGGTGACCTCTGTGAACTGCTGGATCACCTGTGAGCCTTTGCATCGGGTAGGTCAGAGGAGACAGAGGTCTGGGTTTTTCTCCTCTACTCTTACCCTCCATTCTGACCACCTGATACAATTTAGCAAAGGATCCTGTATCTTGGCCACAGCTTCTGGTGGAATCTTCTCCCACAGATACACTGTGTTTTTGCCAGGCCATTCCCTCCCAGAGTCTCTTCCATCCTGGAGGTGGTAACTTTCCCCAAAGTGCCTCATCTCCAGTGCTAATTCCCTTACTGCTGCCACAACTCTTCAAAGAGCCTCTTCATTCAATTTGAATTATCACCTTGTTTCACCATCTCTCTCCCTGGAGGCCCACTGTTACAGACCTATCCTAACCCAAACTGGCCCTGCCATGAACACTCACTGATCACACTGAATGGTCTAGAAAAGGTGGGAAAATAATTTATAAACTTGTGAGATCAATGTAAATCAGGGTTTGACTCTTGGCCATGCTCCTTACTATCCACACTGAGCAGGTGGCGTAAACTTCATGAGCTTCAGTTTTCTCTTCTGTATTATGGGATAATTAGCTATTCCATGAGAGTTTCTGATAGTTACACAAAAATAAGATTTATCTAGCACTACATGCCTGACATTTAACAAATGTCCAATCATGGTGATTCTTCCTCCCTGTCTGGGTTGCTACAATCTATCTATTGCAAATTTCAGCAATTTAAGAAGTATTGTCTCACATTGGGTTCTAATTATTATAAGTGCAATATGGTACACTTCCCATAATTTGCTCACAAAAAGCCTCAAGGGGACAAAATATGTGTTATATTTTTTTGAACACAGCTCTGAACACCCAGCAGATGATTAACACTTACCTGACTTTATAATAATCTTCAGCCTTCACAAAATGTATATTAAACTTACATTATGTTGGGAATCAATGTTATTTAGTCAATCTCTCCTATAGCCCTCTTCACCTTTTCAGCATATAAAAATGCAGATTATTAAACAAGAGGAATTGATAATAGTGATTCAGTACAATTGAGCTCATCTCAAGCAATCAGCAAGAAATATACACATATGGACAATTAAATAATACATCAAAGAAGTATGAATAATTTCCTGACCCTTGGTCAGTCTCCCTCACCTGTTATCCTATGACCTGAAGTACTAAGGATAAGAACAGTCTTCTCCGAGTATTATCCGAGTTGCTACCGTTCAAAATGTACTGGATCCTCGTTAAAAGTTTATAATTCTAACCTATTAACACTGACAGAACAGGTACTAAACATGAAGACAAACAGGTGACCTCTTCCTCCAGGAGAGGAGTTTATAGCATTTCAGGGGGTTTGCTGTCTGCCCAGATACCACCAAGAGGTAGACACAGGTACAATACACTCTGCAGAGGCCTTCTATGGATCCAGAGCCAATTAATGGGACAAAGATAACATGAAAGAGAAAGTAATGAAGGCTCCTAAAGCCAACTAAATGATTAACTTGATTGATTTTAGTTAACATGAAATTATAATTCCTTTGGATAAGTGAATAAAGAATATTGTGAAAGGATTTTTTTTTTGCCTATGGGTTTGTCCTTGCTTTTAAAAATGAATTTTGATAGCTTAAACCTTCTGAATTCTAAATATGATCCAGTTTTATGTGTAAATTTAAGTATTTTGGCCAGTGATTTTAAATATGCCTATGTTTCATTTTCCTCGTGTGTGTAAGACCCAATATTGAGTTTTGCCTTTGAAATTCTCAGGATTTATATTGGCATCCACACCTTCACTCAAAGGGAAGCAAGCTTCCCCTGCTTGTGTAGCACCAACTGCTGGACAGCCAAGAAAACAACACATTCTCACTTTGAAGGATGATTATTTTAACAGACCTTTCATCAGGTCAGCCCCTTTTTTGCACCAGGCCCTAGAATGAACTGCTACATATTCCTTTTTTTTTTTAAACTCCCTGTCCTGGGGATTGGAGCTAGGATTGCTCTACCACTGAACTATACCCACAGCTCTCTTTACTTTTTGATACAGGGTATTTCTAAGTTGCTGAGCCCAATCTCTAACTTGCAATGCTCCTGCCTCAGCCTCCGGAGTAGCTGGGATTACAGACATGCACCACCACACCCAGCTGTCATGTGATGTCTTTGAGTGGCAGTTTTACACACTCCAGGAGTGAGCCACAGCCTGAGTCCATGTTGGTGGCTGCTCAACAACCCCTGAATTTGGAGTCAGATGATTTGGGTCAGGGTTTTAGCTATGTTCCATTCTGAATATCTAGCTCTAGGGATCATGACTATGGGTCTTGGTGTCTTAGAATCTTGGACAACTAATAATTTTGAAATAGGTTAAACCTCTACTAGACAACAAGGTTTTAAATAATTGGTTAAAAAAGGAAAAAAAAGGCATATATAAAATTTTTATAAGAAACATTCAATATAGAGTTGAAAAGAAAAAAGGGACAAAATATTATTAAAGTTATTAAGTGGAATTAAGAATATGACAAAGAAGATTATAAGGAGAACACTGAGTCATATAAAGTTATTGTATATTGAAAATGATACCATACACAATAATTTAAGTATCATGAATTCATGTGTATTGAATAACAAATCATCAAGAAATACAAACTGATACTTGCAAGTAGTGTAAGAATTAGCAAAAATCATAGAAACTTAACCTTACATCTTTCAATCTTTGACAGAGAAAGTAGATGAAAATTATCTAGGCATATGGAGTGTCTGAACTGAACACATGACTCAGTATACAAATATAAAACTTCATACAGTAACTGTAACTCAAAAATTTGAAATCTAAATTTGTTCCAAAATCTGTAAGTTTTTGAGGGCTTGATATGATGTTACAAGTGGAAAATTCCATGCTATGAACCTTTATTTCACGAACAGAATTATTACAAATATTGTATAAAATTACTTTCAGGGTATGTGTATAAAGTACATATAAACATGGGTCCCATCCTCAAGATGACTCATTACATACAGGCAAATATACCAACATCTACTCCCAAATCCCAAACACTTCTAGTCCTAAGTATTTTGGATAAGAGTTACCCAGGTATAATCAAAAGAGATCACTCCCATTGTTCCTCAAGTATTTGTGGAACATTTACAAACTTGGTAATATGCTAGGCCACAAAAAGAACATCAGTAAATCTCCCAAATTAAAAATCAACTGGGCACACTTCTGAAGACACTGACATGTGTAGAAAGAGAGAAAGGGAGAATGCCACATGGAGATGGAGGATTGGAGTAATGCAGCTATACCTAGGAGGCCAAGAGCTGCAGCAACCACAAAGACTACAAGAGACAAGCAAAGACCCCCACAGTTCAGAGGGAGCCCTGTCCACACTTTGATTCCAGACTTTTTGCCTCAGAACTCTTGAGGCAATACATTTCTGTAGTTTTAAGGAAAAACACAAGACAAATGAACTCCTCAGAACAAACAGAAAAACATTTTTTTAAACTATAAATTCTGAAAATGAACAAAAGGATGCATAAAGCATGAACATATAATATTATGTCACGAAACAATTTAAAAAGTTTTTTTCCCTTAATTATTTGTGGGCCAAAGAGGAAATAAAAATACCATAAAAATGTAATTGTCCCAGATATAAAGATGGTAGAACTAAGACATATTGGTCCTGGATTCCAGGCCACGTGCCACAAAGTTAAGGGGCCACTTTGCACAGGAAGCTTAACTTTTTTTGCTAACTTCATATTATACCATCTTCTTATAGGGATATGCTGAAGATATAATAAAAACATATATTTGAAGGCACTCTAGAAACTAAACCCATCATAAAGAAATGCCAAACACTGTACATAAATCAAAGAATTATTAGGCTTGAACTGATTTAGTTGTCATCAACTTGTAGGGAATATTCTGTGCATTAGTGAATGAGAAGCACTAGTGAACAAAAGGGAGAATGGAAATGGGAAAGCTGTCAACAGTAAGTGAGAAGCCTTCATGCCAGCACTGCAGTGTGCTTCCTCCCTCCCTGTGAGGGTGAGGGACCATGAGCCAGTCTGCCAATCCATTTGAGGATGCATGACAGAGGTGGCCCGGGGCTTCTCTCTGGATCTGGCTCCTGAGATGATCTTGAAGAGTAAGGATTGACAAAGACTTTTTGCTTGGTCAAACTACAGTCAAGATCCTGAACCTTCTCTTAGGATCATCTATGTACTTCCTTGTTAAGTCCAGCTTCAGCAAAGAAATTTGCTAAATTTGTTTAGCAAGACTTTCATTCTCCGTATCTGATCAGGTTCCTCATCCTACAGCTCCCACAGTTGGTCACTCTGGCCCATCATATGCCAGAATCCTCCTTATGCTGCTATTTCCTCTTAGGAACTTTTTATTCCCTCACTCCCCACCCTGCTCCTTGGCTATAAATTCCAGGTGCCCATGCTGCATTTAGAGCATCCTTTCCTATACCCACCATGATGGTCCTGTCTACCTTACCATGTCTTGATAAATACTGCATCGTTTTTCTTTAACAGCAGCAATT